ATGCAACAGACAGCGATGATTTCTTGACTGAAATCCGCGTTTTGAACGAATCACTTGCTTCTTTCCCGAATGAGTCAGCCGTTTGAACGAATCGGTTGAATGAATGACTCCAACTCACTTATTAAGAAGACTTGCCGCCGCCTACTGACGGTTTTAGTTTCAAATTTAAAGTATACTTTAATTAAAACGTTAAAATTAGAAATCATTTAATATTTAAATATTGAATATTGATTTAAAAAAAACAACTATCTCATAGCTTTATTTATGCAATTGTAAATGGAGTGTAAATATATTAATGCCACTTCTGATGCCTCTTCTGTGTCACCTCTGCACTGCAAAGATTGATTTTGATTGAATGATTTAATTTGACTGGTAACAGTGGTACTGTATAATTATTGTAGAATTAAGTATTATTGTATAAATAAGTATAATTACTGTATAATTTGAATGCTAGTATTTGACAAAGGTGATGCATAACTCTAAAAAATTTTAGAAAAATGTCCATATATACCGGTAGGTCAAAATGCCCCTGGAAAATCAATTTAAGGTTGCAAATATTGCCCTTTAACAAAAATATTAATTTCTGTCACTGCTGTGAACTGACCACTGCATAGAATATGAAAATATGAATATCTTCGTGAGTCAGCTGTCAACAACAGGCCTTAACCAGCCATGCACCAGCACAAAAACACAATCAGTAAAGTATCATCTAATTATTATCAACAAAACGTTGAAAATATCGAGATATATTTTTGTCAATATTGCACACCCCTAATGTAAGGTATTAATTTTGATTTCTTAAGGTCTTAAAAAGCCTAAATCTGACTTTAAAAAGTGTGCAGGAACCCTGTCTTATAGTATTGTATTTGGTTTTTGGAGGAGGATTTTTGCTACTTTTTTGACATCTCAAAATATCTGAAATTGGCTGGACATATTAACCATTTGTCAATTTCAGACAGTCTTTCTTACAGTGTAATGACTTCCAGTCATATGGGTCTGTTGTCGTCTGCTGTAGATAATCAAGAAACTGATCGAGAGGAAACAGAATCAGATCAGGAAAGTGTATCCTGGTCTCACCTGCTTTAAAGAGGGTGTGCGGCAGATTCCTGTGGAGAGTATACCAGGCATCAGTAAGTTTGTGCTCGTCTCACAGTAGTGGCTATAATGCACCCACAAAATCCTTCCATTCACAAATACTCTCTCCCTCCTTTTTTGTCTTCCTAAGGAGAGACTGGTTGGAAACCTAGTGCCAAGGAGAAAAGGTCAGAGGAGAATTTATGCATATTTATTCTGAAATCTGAGACCATCTATGTCTCTATATTAAAACATCTCACTGATGATTTTACAGTGATATCATGTTGTGTACACTTCTGTTTAGGGTCCGTAAGATTTTATTAAGGGAATTGATACTTTTATTTAGCAAGGATGCATTAAATTAATCAAAAGTGACAGTAGAGAAGACATTCATAATGTTTCAAAAGATTTATATTTCAAATAAATGCTGTTCTTTTGAACCTTCTATTCATCAAAGAATCCTGAAAAAAAAATTATCACTGTTTCCACAAAAATATTAAGCAGCTATTTTCAACATTGATAATAATAATAAATGTTTCTTGAGCAGCAAATGATCATGTAAGAATGATTTCTGAAGGATCATCTGACACTGAAGACTGGAGTAATGATGCTGAAATTCTGCTTTGCCATCACAGGAATAAATTAGATTCTAAAATATATTCAAATAGAAAACACTTATTTAATATTTTACAATATCACTGAAATTTACTGTATTTTTGAACAAATAAATGCAGCCTTGGTAAGCATAAGAAACTTCTTTCAAAAAACATTTAAAAAACAAACTTTTTAATGGTAGTGAATGTGTACACAGGGATTTTTCCCCCCAATATTTTTAATTGCAATGAAAACTGTGTTTACTTATAAGAGGATGTTTTTGTGAAATTATATACCTTGTGTATTATATATGAGATGAGCCAGTCTCGTTACAGTTCCTAGTAAAGTTACCAACCACCAGCGAGTAACTGAGACTCTGGTCAAAAGCAAGTAATGTTACAAGTACTATTATTTTTGTTCCCTGCGTGTATCCATCATTCTCTCTTATTTTATCTCTGCAGTAAAGAGCTGAAAGATCCGGATCTGCTTTACAACATGTTAAAGAATCTTCTCGCACAGATTAAAGTAAGAGGCCTGTTGTCACACTCACACGCACATTCATCTAAACACATTAACAACACAATATTCTGTTACATTCTCACCATCTCATTTGTGTGTTAAGACGCATCCAGACTCCTGGCCTTTCATGGAGCCAGTGAAGAAATCTGAAGCGCCTGACTATTATGAGGTCATCCGCTTCCCCATTGGTGGGTACTGATGTGATCTGCATATACATTAATGAGATTTCAACCATTCTGAAGAGCCGCTATTGAATTAGTCAGACTAGCTGGACAGACAATATTAAGCAGTTAACATCTATACAGTTTTAACAACATCAAATTGCATCCAATTGAATAAACCTCTCTTCCTACTTAGACTTGAAAACCATGACGGAGCGTCTGAAGAACCGATATTATGTGACTAAAAAGCTGTTTATCGCCGACCTGCAGCGAGTGATCACGAACTGCAGAGAGTACAACCCTCCAGACAGCGAGTACTGCAAGTGTGCCAACACACTGGAGAAGTTTTTCTACTTCAAACTGAAAGAGGCCGGGCTCATTGACAAGTAACGGGCATCTAGCCTAGAACAAGGGACCAGTTAGAAAATATAGAGAGTGTGATCACATACACACACACGTTTCATTTGGATGAACAACATCCAAACCTGTCAAAAGTTGCTGCTTTCTGTTACTTTTCCCTTATACAATATAGTTATAAAACTCAAGGTTATATTAATGTGTAGGACTCTGCCATGCCAGTGCATTAAGGCAAAATGAAAACTGAAAGTGTGTTTGATGTGGGCGTTAGCTTAGACAGAAATCACCATTAGCAGTTCAGTTCTTCTTTCCCATCCTCCGCCAAAAAACGAATGACTCATGCACACTGCAAGCTATTGCTCTACATACACAAACATTCAGTTGTGTAACTTAAAGTAATATCCTGCGAAACTCCTCTGACCTGAGATGCTGCAGCCAAAGATGGACAATATTCGGCCTCTAGTGATGTCACTGCGGTGTCACTCTTCTCAGCCAAAGCTGTTTGAAACAGCCGGTCAGTCATATACAGGATGTACCCATTTAGTATAAATCTGACAATATGAGGGAAATCATACTTTTTTGTTGAGTTCCGTCAATGGCTTTTATTGGAAAAGATGCCTCATTCCATGACAGATCACTTCAAACAACAATAATCAAATGTTTTTTTTTTTCTCCTGGGAAATTACTTCTGTCCACTTTGCTTTGTCAGTGCCGTTGTGAAGTGTTTATCTTTGTTCACAAACCAATATTTGCTGTCTTTGGAAGCTTTCAGTGTGTCATGACCCCAGGCGTAAGCATTCACAGTTTTTGCAACCTGCTGTTTACACCCATTTGGGACCATGAACAACTATTTCCATTTCAATCGTAGCTGCAAAACACTTTTTCTGCTACTACGAATGGACTACTGCACAAATCTCTATATCCAAATATGTATGTGATTTCTGTCACACCGCATGTTCTCTGCTAGTTTAACGCTCACACACATGAGACAGGACAGCTGGTTTATTTTCCAGTCTCTCGTGATGGGCATTTACTTGAATCATGACTTTGACAAACTGCTGCAATGTTGATGTATTTCAGGGTTCTTTATTTTTGGATTTACTGTGGGTCACTGATGACCCCTTTCATGAACAGGACAGATGGGCGTGATAGAAAGCGTTTGGATATGGTTACATTTGGATGATGCATGTAAATTGCAACGGTTCTGTGTACTATAATTCTGTTTTTTTGAAAATAAACTAAAAAAAGTATCTAATTTTGCCTTGCTGAGAAGTGATGCTTATTTGAGCCTTTCAAATTCTGAATCATGCAAATAGAGATTATAGAATCGTATAATTGAACAGAAAATAATAACTGAGGTTTTTATTTTTGGAAAAAAATATATACTTTTTATTCAGGATGGACACATTAAATTTATCAAAAGGGAGAGTAAACGCATTTATAATGTTACAAAAGACAAAAATAAATATTTCAAATAAATGCTGTTTTGAATAAAGAATATGTGTTTGAAAATGCATCATAGTTTTCACAAAAATATTTAGCGGTGCAACTGTTTCCAACATCGATAATAATCAGAAACGTTTTTTGAGCAGTAAATCAGCATTAGAATTATTTCTGAAGGATCATGTGACACTGAAGACTGGAGTAATGATGCTGAAAATAAATTACTGGAATTAATCATCCTGAGTTTGCAAACTGTCATATTTTGCAATACAATCACTAGATACATTTTTATTAAGTTTAACAATGTATATTTATTTACTTAATTTTTAAATCTTTTTTTAACCTTAATTAGGAAAAGACGTAAAAATTAGTTTGAAAAATAAGATTTTTTGGTAAATGTGCTTAAAGCTAAATTAAAGGGGTTCATCCTTTACAAAACAGTATCTAGTACCAATGATTATCTAGAACCTCCACACAGTATTGTTTCAGTTTCCATAATGTGTTTGTTTGGATCTGAGCATGACTAAAAGGCAAATGACAAAGACAGTTCCTTCAGTTTTCGTTTCCTAACATCACTGACTGCAAAATAGGGCCCCATCAAGGTCTCTCCATTACTTTCTCAGTGCAGCGTCTGCCTATGATTCTCTTCACATTTACAAATCAAATTCTGTTTTAGATGTCCACATTACTGGTGTCCAAGAGACAATCAAAGAACAAAAGCACCCAAAAGCTAATTAAAAAGTTTCTTTCATTTCTTATACTTCATTTATCAGCCTACAGACACCTGCTGTCATTGAATTTAGCCCCTCTTTTGTTGTATGTCATTCGTCTCCTCCTCCTGGGCCCTTTCTCTGTTTTTGGTTTCGTTTTTCTGCTCAGCAGGCTCATAAAGGGACGTTTTAAAGAGAAAAGAAGGTTCACCCTCTCCAAAGTAGCATAGACCTCTCGCCACCACAGTGATAGCAGCACCGGTGAGTGAATCTACTGACACTTTAGAAATGTCTTTGATCTAATTTGTAGTCTCGTAACCATAAGCAGAGTAGTAGCTTTGATATTTTTAACATGGAATATTCATTATTAGCTTTATGATTAGACCACAAGTAGTTAACAGAGCACAAAAACATTACAGGTAAAGCTACTAGTAATATTTCACCTTTAAATGCTTATAATAAAGTTATGAAAGTTGCCAAAAGGTCTAAAACTTTCTCTCGGTTTTTTTTTACCACTTTTTCCATACCTGTATCTTACTGTAATAATAACTGCAATCCAGATATAATTTTTACCAGAAAATAACAGGGAAACTCTTAATTTGTAAACTTTTGGTAAATTGGTAAAAATGTTGTGCCCGAATCAGCAGGAACTGTGTCAGTCATTGTATAACAAAATTTTATGAATTGAACAGCTCGTAAACAAAGAGTTCTTTATTGAATTGAGTTAAGAACCCTAGGGTTCTATATAGACCCCCATTGAAGAGTGTACAACACTAACCATTTTTGATTAAAAGTAAATGGCCTCCACTGTGTTTTGGTGACTGTGTGAATGTAGATGGAGATCACTCTTAGATCATACCAGGAGGAAGTGGTGCAGACGGCTCTAAAGGGGGAGAACAGCATCATCTGGCTGCCCACTGGTGGAGGAAAAACCCGTGCTGCTGTTTATGTTGCCAAGAAACACCTGGAGACTACAGCCAATGCCAAAGTGGCAGTGCTCGTCAACAAGGTGAAGCCAGATCACTGCTCAATTACACTGGGTCTGTGCATAATATTGTTTGTATCTTTTTCTTTAGATTTGCATGCTGAGTTTATATTTTCATTGTTCTCAGGTGCACCTGGTAGACCAGCACTTTGACAAAGAATTCAACCTTTATCTTGGGAAGCCATACAAGATAAAGGCCATCAGTGGGGACAGCGGTGACAAGGACTTATTTGGGTGTCTGGTCAAGGACTCAGACCTGGTCATCTGCACGGCTCAGATTTTGGAGAACGCCCTGAATAGCACGGAGGAGGAAAAACACGTGGATCTCACAGGTAACTGATGATTTTGTAAGACACAGCAAATAGCACATAAATATAAAAAAAGTGTCTCTTTACATGAATACTGTCACATACTATTATCCAATAGAACATTACCCTAGCTGTACACCACCCCCATTGTACAGTGTCTTGTCTTGACTGGATCAAAAAAATCTTTGTAGTTTTCATTGTTTTGACTTAGCCATATTTCTAACATGCAGTCAAACGTGACACTCAACAAACCTAGTCAGTTCAGATATTTCATGTGTTCTAGCTCAAGCACACCTGGTGCAACTAATAAAGCCCTTGATTAGTTGCATCAGGTGTGCTTGAGACAACACCTGTTTTGCAGATTTGTGCTGTTGTGAGGGATTCTATTCAGGGGGTTGAATAATTTTGAGACTGCAGAAATCATTAAAAGTTGCATTTTCAGTTGAATTTGGGGAAACCACTTGAAACATTTGTTGTGTTGAGCTATTTCAATTACTTTTGTTTGATTTGTTCATTGCAAACAGCTGAAACCGCTGTCAATTTTGCCTATAAACCTGATTTGCAATGGGGTTTGAATAATTTCGATTACAACTGTAAATGTTTTGTCTCCTTTTCTTCCTGTTACTCTAAATAAATTGTTTCTATTTAGACTTCACCCTGTTGGTCATAGATGAATGTCACCACACGCAAAAGGAAAGTGTCTATAACAAGATTATGGGCCGCTATGTGGAGAAGAAAGTGAGAAAAGAAGGGAAGCTGCCCCAGGTTTTGGGCCTCACAGCATCACCTGGTACAGGAGGAAATAAGTCACTGGATAAAGCTGTGGAACATGTCTTGCAGGTGTGTGTGTGCACATGTGCAGATTAGGAACGATACAGCTCAAACGATACAGCTAAAATGATTATATCTTATGACGATTTTCAACATGGATAATTGTGTATTTGCTCTGAAATGGCTTAAAAAGCTGGATTTTTTTCAGCAATAAATTTTGACTGCCATTGTTGCCAAAAATATAGATAAATTGCTAGTAAAGTCATAGCAAATATTTCGTGATTATTCGATTCGATGGTGGCACAGCCCTTGTGCACGAAGTGTTTTGCTTTATGAATTAATGGTAACACTTTACAATAAGGTTTAAATAGTTCTTCTACAGCATTTATTCATCTTTAATAATGATAATCTCAACATGTGCTAATATATTTTAGGATCAAAATGTGTATCTGTTAACATTAATACATTTTTATAAACTAACATTAACAAAGGTTAAAAAAAGTATATATTGTTCATTGTTCATGTTATTTAATGCATTAACAAATGAGACCTTATTGTAAAGTGTTACTTTTTTACCAAATTATTCAAATAATTCTTACTCTTTCTCTCTCATTTTCAGATCTGTGCCAATCTGGATTCAGTAATTGTGTCCACCAAGGATTATACACCAGCGCTCAAGGAAGTTGTCCCTAAACCCAAAAAGCAATATGACATTGTTGAAAAAAGAGCTCTGGTACTGTTCTCCGTTCGCTTCCAGACTGCACCTCAGTCATAATGCCATTCTCTACTGCACAACTGCTTGAACGTTCAATGACCAAAATATGTGTATGTTTGTTTGTGTCAACAGGATCCATTTGGCGACCACTTGAAGTTAATGATGTCAATGATTCATGAGTTCATGCCATCAACGGTGAGCCGTAGCCTGCGGGATATGGGCACACAGGAATATGAAGCTGATGTGGTGGAACTAGAGAAAACAGGTTAGATGTCATTGCAACTACAACTTTTGAGTTGTACATTCCAAATCCCCTGCAAAAAAAAATCACTTGATTTGATGGTGTGTTTTTGGATCAGGTGTAATAGAAGAGAACAGACTGATCGCTCAGTGTGCACTGCATCTGCGGCAATACAACGATGCTCTTCTCATTAACGACACCGTTCGCATGGTGGACGCGTTCAATGTTCTGGACGAGTTCTACAATTCAAGGAAAAACAAATTGCTGGATGGAACAGACTTCTTTCTCCAGGGACTTTTTGATGGTGTGGATTTTTTACTATGCTGTAGATTAATGTGATGCTCTTAAAGGGGCAGTTCATGCAAAAACATCATCATTTACTTTATTCGCCAAACCTGTATACCTTGTATCTTCCCTTCTGTGAAATCCAAAAATATCTTTTCATACAATGAAAGCATTTAATTGTGGGACTGTTAAATTTCAAAAAGGACAAAAATATATCAGTACCATATCGTTATGGGCCAGTGTTATACTTTTTGTATCGCATTAGTCAGTATTGGATATATATCTGCTGATATTGTATATTTACTTGTGCCTCCTCATTTCCCCTATTTTTACACTGACTTAAAAAATACTAGTAACTTAACACTATTAAATGTAATCTTTAGCAAATCTCAAAGTGGATAACTATTTTTATATTGTAAGTTATAATGTTGTGATGTTCAAATTCACAAGTAGCATTTAAAACCATTGTTTTTATTCTTTTGTTTCATTTTTAATTTATTTAGATAAAATAGCATAAAATTTTTATATATTTTATGGGTAATTTCCATAAGATGGATATAATTATTGGCCAAAAAAAAAGCACCATAAATGCAGTCCACATGATTTGTGCACCATATTCCAAGTCGAAATGAAAGTTCACTGATCATATTGCTTTCTGCTTAAATCTCAATTACGTTTGTGCATATTCAAACTTTCCCTTTATTTGTATTATTCATTTATCTGTGCTAACTCCAAAATTGATTGGAAAAGATTGAAAAGCTGATTTTTCTGCTCTTACTACTCAGAGAACCGCGTGGAGCTAAAACAACTGGCATCGGATGCCCGCTACGAAAACCCCAAACTGGCCCAGTTGCAACTCACGCTGCTGGAAGAGTTTAGAGATAAAACGTCTCGCGGTATAATCTTCTCGAAGACGCGCAGGGGCACACATTGTCTGTATGACTGGGTGAACTCCAACCATGAGCTGCTGAAGGTCAAAATCACTGCTGGCATTCTCACTGGAACGGGTACTGGTGCCGACCACATGAACCAGGTACAGCAAGAAAACATCTCAAATGGTTTCCCTTGATCTTCTAAAGCATTTGTTGGTCGTGTTTAGTTGAGAAACATTTAGGATCTACAGAAGGGAATACAGACTAATTCTGAATCTGCTAATAACTTTCTCTACTTGGTATACAGTATGTGTCTGTTTTTTGTATTTGTTCTTAGAGTGTACAGAAGAAGACCATCAAAGATTTTAGACAAGGATTCCACAACCTCCTCATCTCTACCAGTGTGGCTGAGGAAGGACTTGATATTCCAGAATGCAACTTAGTTGTACGTTACGGCCTGTTGACCAATGAGATCGCTCAGCAGCAGGCCAGTGGGCGGGCTCGAGCTGAGAACAGCGTCTACTCAGTGGTGGCTGAAGAAGGTGGGCGCGAACTGCGCAGGGAATTTACCAATGAGTATCTAGAAAGTCTGACCTCAAAAGCTATTGACCAAGTACAGAGAATGAGTCCCAGGGAGTTCAGAGTCAAGGTTTGCAATTTAAATCTGACTTTGCAAGTCATATAATAGAAAAACTCAAAGTATTCAAATTTCATTGCCTAAAAAACTTTTCTCTTTCTGCTTGTCAGATATCTAAACTCCAACAAATGTCTATTCTGATTCGGATTGAAGCTGAGAAGAAAAAGGATGAGAGGAAGCAGCGCTACAGTCCTGCTCAGGTTCAGCTTCAATGCAGAGGATGTTTCCTTCGTGTCTGCAGTGGAGAAGATATCAAAAAGATAGAGAATTCACACCATGTCAATATCAACCCTGAGTTTAAGTGAGTTAGTCCTCAGTACATCACTGTCAATATCACAGACCAAATAATTCTGGAAATTGTAGAACAGTGATGAATATCTATACTGTACACAAGCTTGCAAAGAAGTCTCATATGCTCACCAAAGCGGCATTTATTTGATCATGAATACAGTATAAATAGTAATATTGTAAAATATGATTACAATTTAAAGTAACTTTTGTATTTAAATATATTTTAAAATGTAATGTATTCCTGTGATCAAAGCTGAATTTTCAGCATCATTACCCCATTCTTTGGTGTCACATGATCCTTCAGAAATCATTCTAATATGATGATTTGATGATCAAGAAACATTTCTTATTATTATCAATCTTCAGAACAGTTGTGCTGCTTAATATTTTTGTGGAAACCGTAATTACATTTTTCAGGATTATTTGATAAATAGAAAAGTTCAAAAGAACATAATTTACTTAATTCCTACTATGATTATAAACGAACATGTTTGTGTTTGTCTATTTCATAGGAGGCATTATAGAACTGGTGGGCAAGTGATTCTGGAGAGGACTTTTGAAGATTGGGAGCCTGGACGGGTTATCAGCTGCAGTAAATGTGGACAGGTTAAAAAAAGAAAGAAAGAAGAAGAATAGATCACATTGTATTATCCAAATAAACATAGGAAGAACTCCTTAAGAAGATTACATCTTTCTCTCTCTCTCTCTCTCTCTCAGGAATGGGGATTGGAGATTAAATTCAAGATGGTGGCGATACTCCCCTGTTTGAAAATAAAGAACTTTTTCTTGAATACTCCTCAAGGCAAAGTCTCTTGCAAGTACTGGAAGAATGTTGAGTTCCAGGTGACAGAGTTTGACTTCATTGACTACATGAGCAGCTGTTTCCCTGACCTGGACTTTGATGACTGACACAACTAAACTCAGTCAGAACCCTGTAACCCTCACTGTGCCAGGTTTTCTGTCTGCAGTGAGTATTTCTATACCAGTGGCTTGTATCTTGTAGACTGTTGATTACTGTTCATTAGCATAATTTAAAAATGAAATTATCCATCCTGATTACATCTTGGTTATTCATGGATGTTGGGGGTCATAGCAGCTTTTGTGGTTGATTGTGATAGTCAAAATACAGTTTGGAACCTCTGTTCAATACAATATAGCTGTTTGTAAACTTTAAATGTTTGTACTTCAAATTCAACCATTTACTTTTTGTACATTAAGTTTTTGTCTTTTTTGTTTCATTTATGGGTTTTGTTTTATTTGATTTTTTCTGAGAAAGGTGTGTGTGTGTGTGTGTGTGTGTGTGTGTGTGTGTGTGTGTGTGTGTGTGTGTGTGTGTGTGTGTGTGTGTGTGTGTGTGTGTGTGTGTGTGTGTGTGTGTGTGTGTGTGTGTGTGTGTGTGTGTGTGTGTGTGTGTGTGTGTGTGTGTGTGTGTGTGTGTGTGTGTGTGTGTGTGTGTGTGTGTTAAATGCTTTGAGAGTATATTTATCTTTAACATATTTTCATTGATTTTTCTGTTGTCCCTCTCAGGGATCAGGACTGTGCTGCTCTATGATTATTAGTTATTGTTTACATTACTGTGCAATATGATATAAATGCACTCCAAGCTCTTAATGACCCTCATTGCACATTACAGTAGTCTGCTCAGACCGTCACTTTCAGATTGCTCGAACATTTACATATATTCATTTAACAGATGCTTTTAATTTAAGTGATTTACAAATGAGGAGAAATATGAACACACTTCGAAATCTTTGAACCTTCATTTATAGACTAGGTTTAGGTCTGTTTAAAACTGTTTCTCAAAAAAGTGAATAAATTAAATATTCTTTCTTTTTTAAATTTCTACATAACATTAACAAATGAGATTCTGTATATTGCATCTGTAATATATACATTTTTAAAATAAATAAAACAATTATGCTCTCTCTGTATGTGATGTGTTTTCGTCCTTATGATTGCTTCACGAGTGGATACTTACTGTTTTGAGCCTGTGTGTGAGAAAAAACTACAGTCATAGATTTGCGTGAGAAGACAACAAAAGCAAAAGTTATTATGATTATCTCTTTATTTCACGATGCGGAGTTTCTCAGATTGAAATTTTTTCAAACGAATTTAGTGTCAGCCACTAGATGGCGCCACGCAGTTTTGCTTTCTTTCTGTTAATTCTGAGTTTCCCCTTAGTTAAATAGGTTACTGTATGCACCTGTGATTTGCCTTACTTGAACACTCTTGGGTTTGTGATGCTTTGGTTCGTTGACTGTGAGGCAAACCTATAGACAGTGACGTCATTGTAAAAGTCAATAGCTACCTATGGGTTCAAAACTACCTGGATATTTTGGAGGTCAGTTTTGCTCAGTTCGTTTTTTATACTGTATATTAAATAGAAAGGAAAAAGAAAATCATTGTTGTCCTTAGGCTGACAACCATCAGTCATGTGATGAACAATGACCGCATAAAAGGTGTGATTAAACCATCAAAATATGTAGACAATTTTAGGATTAGTCCAAATTGTCTGAAGAGACTCGATTGCTTTATGAACAGATTTCATTTATTCACATTTAAACACTGCTGTGTTACACACGAACCTCATTTGTTCTCCTCTCACACGTCAAGCGAATGCTTGAACGTTGACCACAACTGATAGCCTATGTGAGTTTATTAATCTTTATGTGAATAAAAGCCTAAATTCAATCTGTTCATCATATAAAGCAATCGTGTCTCTTCGTAAAATTTGGAGTAGGCTACACCACTTGCACTTGATTCATACATTCGTTTTACGATCTCTTTATGAAGCATCAAAGTGTTAGCCCAACAGAGGGACAGAAATCTCTCACATTTCATCAAAAACATCTTCATTTGTGTTCTAAAGATGAACGAAAGTCTTGCGTCTATAGGCCTGTGGTTGGCATAAAGGGCAGTGTTCTGCCAGTGTGGTTTTGCATGGATCAGTGCTTCAGCAACGCCCACAGCACACATTTAAACACACACGCACACACAATGCCCGCAGAATAAATCACACGCATCCACAGAGGCTACACATGCTGCTCATTTACACGGACTTTAGCAAGGACATTAAAAGTCAAAGCTAAAATTCTGTCACAGACAGGAAGAGCTCAATCACAGATGACATAGGCTACCTTCAATCAGTCAGTTATCTGTGCGTAGTGGTGATAATGTGACAGATTGGTTTATTATAAGTGGAGTGGATTCTGATTGGCTCTCAACGTTTTAATCGTTGATTGGCTGAATAATCATTCTGAAAGTGATACCAACAATATCGCTCTGTGTCATTATCATTATAGGTGTGGTGTGGACTTGGTTGAACCCAATCTTACAAAATTATAAACTTATAGTTTAATAAATAGTTAAATAGTTATCCATTGTGTAAGGTTGTTATAACACAATCAACCCTGTAAGAATTTATTTTCACAATAATTACAGCACATTATCCTGCTTATTATATGGCTATTTACCACATAATTAAATAAATGCTAATTATTATGTGAGTAGAAAGAGGTGAAATATAGCTAGCTCTGTGTACACTGGACATACCGCCCCATTGTTACAAGCGTGGAGAAGGAGGATCGTTCAAATTTGATTGTATGGTGAATGACATATTTATGTCTTTGTGTCAGTTTATTGTTTAAAATGGTCCTTTCGTGTGCGTATCCTGGATGTTTAAAACAATGGGGCTGTACTTCCTCCTACGTCCAGCATGACCTTTCCAATGTGATTATTACTTAATGCCTGGCGCGTCGCAGACCAGCACAAGACGAACAATTGTGGTTAAAAAAGTATATACATTATAATTTTTTTTTAGAAAATGGACGATCGTTTTACTAGATAAGACCTCCTCAGCTGGGATCGTGCAGAGCCGTTTGAAGCACTTCAAAGCCCTTTGAAACTGCATTGATTTGGACTTCAACAATTTGGTTACCGTTGAAGTCCATTGTGTGGAGAAAAATCCTGACACGTTTTCCTCAACAACAAAAATTTTTCTTTTCCACTGAAGAAAGAAAGACATGAACGTTTTGGATGGCATTGGGGTGAGTAAATTATCAGGAAATTTTCATTTTGAGGTGAACTAATCCTTTAAGGTGAAAGACCCAAAAAAGAGTCTAGCAACAGCTATGGGTCAGAAATATAAACAACACTGCATGCACATAAGCACGCATGGCGCAGATGTTGTTGGTGTGTGTGCGCTCTAGTCTGACGTTATCAGACAGGATTAATCATGTCAGTAGGGTTCTTAGGTGTGTGTGTGTGTGTGTCCTTAGAAACCCAGGTGCAAAAGAGATGGCGAAGGAATGGAGATGGATGAATGGACTCCGCCAAGAAGACAAAACCAAATATTTCTCCTGCCGTCAGTTTAAAATGACTCAGCACACATATAGAGACTGAGAGACATTCCTCTTAGTCCAACAAAGAGCCTGTAATCAAAACCAAATGTTATAAAAATTCCTGCCCAATGGTTGTGGTCAGTTCAAAAGGATTGTAAAACAAAATTACACGTAAATACGGACTTGTCTAAAGCAAATCTATATTTCCGAAATTGCTTTCCACCTTCTATAGCTAAACCTGTTTTTTAATTACTGATCCTCGCATGCAAAAGCGAACCTATTCAGAGACATATGCTTTGCTTTTTGTGTCCAGCTTGTAAACCCAGTTCTTTCAGTCCATAACCATCCCACCACACTAACATGTTGAGACTATATATAGTTTGATATATAAAAGAAAGTGATTGTAGTGGAGTGATTAAAGGAATAGTTCACCCAAAAATAAAATCATGTCACTTACTGACCCTCATGTTGTTCCAAACCCATATTCTGCCTTTATTTCATGGAGCACAAAAGGATTTTAAAGAATGTTAACAAGTCTTGTCCTGACCATAGTGATCTTTGAAGAGCCCAAACATGAGAATCATGTGCCATATCCCAAGTCTTTTGAATAAAAACTGAAATTTAATTCACTAAAATTATTTTCTTCCAATGAATTGTTAACCTGAGAAAGGCTGTAACTGGATCGTCACTCTTAAAGGTCCCGTTCTTCGCGATTCCATTTTTCAAACTTTAAGTGTGTAATGTTGCTGTTAGAGCATAAATAATACCTGTAAAATTATAAAGCTCAAAGTTCAATGCCTAGCGAGATATTTTATTTAACAGAAGTCCCATTTCAAAGCATACAGCGAACGGCCGGTTTGGACTACATCCCTCTACTTCCTTTTTTAATGACGTAACAAGAACAGTTTTTTTTTACTAATCTCCGCCCACAGGAATACACAAAAAAGGGGGCGTGGTTTTGTTGCGCTCCCACGGAGAAGAAGCACTTCAGCTGCGCATGGTAAGAGCTTCTTATACTGTCTATGGGTAAGAGGCGTGACCTTTCCGGCAACGTGCGATAAGCTGCTGTCGAATCACAACACAGGAACCGTTGGCACAATCAGAACTTGTTACTTAATTCTGAAGGAGGGACTTCATAGAACAAGGAAGTCATCAGGCCGTTTTTTGGACAGTGAAAACAGCGGTATACAGATAAGTAAATTGTGTGAAAAATACTGTGTTTTTTTACACGCGAAACATGAACATGTTATATTGCACACTGTAAACACAATCAAAGCTTCAAAAAAAACATGAAGAACGGGACCTTTAAAATAAATGGTCTTAATTGGCATCCATGATTCCATGAACAACCTTTAAAATCCATAGAACCTTTTGAATTCTATGTTCTTCACACTGAGAAAAAAATATATATTTTAAGACCTGGCAGTTGATTAAACCACTAAGACTAGTCTTAAGTCAGTTACATAAAAACATACATTGGTCTAATTTGATACTGAAGTAAGACTGACTACCCCTGAACTGCTAGCAGGTCATACCAGATCTGTCTTAACATAATGGCTTAGTGTATGCAACTGGCCCCTGCTCACTGAAAGGATCTTTGGGGAATCAACTGGTTTATTGGAAGAAGCTGACTCAAAAGAATGATTAATTCGTTGTTTGGATTAAAAATAAATAATAACATGCTTTATCTATATTCAGCCTTTTCAAAACACTATATGTTGCTTTACAGAGGCAAAAAAAATGTGAACATTCTTCTTGAGTTCCAC